CCACCAAAGAAGCTTTTTGCTGGCAACAGAAGTAGCCAGGGCTGAAGCTTAGTCATGGCATATATACAAGGTCCTTAATTCCTGTATGAGAGAGACAGATCCTTCCCTCCAAGATCTGCACCTGATATTGTAGAAACCAACACAAAGAGCCCTCGTCTTCATCACCACTAGCAAACACAGGCAGACTTCGAAACAGAGTGTCTCTGGAAAACCCCCCCTTCCCCAGGAAGGCTCAGGCTCCTGGGGAAAGGACCCGGATCTCAGTTTCCAGCCCCTGCCAGCCACAAAGGCCAGGGCAGCGCATGTGACAGCAGTGCTGCAACCCCGCAGCGGTGTCCTTCACCAACGCAAAGCGACATCCGTCACAACACATTAATGCCCTTGCGCAACGGGCACCAGCAAAGGGCCCGCAGGCTCTTTTGGTAGTGACAGGAGCCTCAGTCACTGGGGAGACGATTCAATAGGGAAGGACAGCAGCGCCACGCTAGCCCCGGTGCTCGGGGACAGCGGGGGCAGGTAGCACTCACTCCACAGTCGGTGACTCTATCACGACATCCTGCACGAACAGTGCGCGCCAGACACCCTACCCGCCGGGAGCTTGCCTGCAGCCCCACATCCCATCCTGCTGAATCCGCCGCAGCGGGCAGAAGGGGCCCTGAAGAAGCGGGTGCTGCTCCCACGGCACTGCGAGCCCCGTCCCCGCGAGCGCCCCGCGGCCCCACTCACCGGAACGCGCCGTCCTCCGGGGTTCGTCCCGGGCAGTCCGGCAGCAGATCGCAGACGTCGCTGGGGCCGAGACGACCGAGGGGCCGGGCGAGGACGGGCAGCTCTCCCGGCTCCGCTCGGGGGCTCAGGCCCGCCCACCCGCCGGCAATGAACTCACTGGAGACGGCCTTGGGCAGCGTGGGGGCGCGGGGCACGGCGGGGCCCGCCCAGGCCGCGATGTGGTCGCTGGACTCCGCTTTGGGCAGCATCTCCCGCCGCTCCGGCGGGGCTGGCGCGGGGAAGGTGACCCGGCCGGGGGCTGCCGGGGACGGGGGGCCGCCCGGGCCGGGGGACAGCAAGGCCGGCAGCGGGAGACCCTCAGGCGGGGTATGGGCCTGAGGCCGCTCCTCGGTTCCTGTGCGCCGCGGGCAGCCATTCCCGAAGCCCTGCCCGTCCGGTCGGGAGCTCCTACGGCCGCCCGGGACGCCGCCGCCGAGGAAAGGCGCCGCCGAAACCCCAGCGTCGGGCGGGAGCCGAACCGCGCTCCCGGGGCCGCGCGGGGGGCCGGGCCGAGACCCCGCGCCGGAGGCCGAGCTCCGGTCGGCGCTGCCGCGCCGAGCCGGGTCCATCGGCAGGACGAGACCGGAGCGGCCCCGGCCCCGGCCTCGACCGGCCCCGCGCACCTTTCGGCCCCGCCCCGTGACGTACCACACAGTGACGTCACGCCCGCCACCTGCGCGGCGCCTCAGAGGCGCAGGAGCGGCCCCGCCCCTCGCGCACCTGCCGCCCCGCCCTGCTCACGTGATGGCCCGTGCCTCGTCCCGTGCGCCGCTCGAAAGCCTTTCCTGCGTGTGCCTGCCCCTGCTCACCCGTCCCTGCGTGTGCACACCTGTTCTTGTGCACAAACACCTGCCCCTGCACACCTGTTCCTGTGCACGAACACCTGTCCTTGCACACCTGTCCTTGCAAGTGAACATCTGTCCTTGCTCATGCACATCTCCCCCTGCAAATGAATGCCTGCCCTGGTGCATTACTGTGTATATGACTGTTCACCACTGAAGCTGTTCTGTCAGCTTTTGCCAGATGTATTTGTGGTCTGCTGCAGAGTGTTTGCATTGTTGGTGAGCACACACACCCTCGGGCAGTTGTGTGTGAGTGTGTTTGTGTGTGGTGTTGTGTCTGGCCGTGTGTGTATTTACAAATGGGCTGTGTGTGCTGCATGTGCATCTCTGTGTGTGTACTGGTCTGTGTGTGCAGCTGCGTGTGTAGCTGGGGATGTGTGTGCCTCTTTGTGCAGCTGTGTGTATGTGGCTTTGTGTGTAGGTGCTGCTGTACCTGTGTGTGGCAGTGCCCATGTGCTCCAGTGAAGAAGCACTTTGTACAGGCAGGTCTGAACACCTGCACTTGGGGTGCACACATACACAGGAGTCTGGGTGACAGGTTTATCCTCATCCTGTGCCTGCTACAGCGTCTGGGGAAGGCTGAAGATTGAGGAGGAGAAAGACCCAGGTGAATTAAGGAGTGAGGCAGAGGAAGATACTGGCCAGAGAGTATAAGATCCTTGGATTGCCATGGGATTCAGTCAGGAGCCAAAGGAACTGTGGGAAGTCCCTGCCATCGTGGAGGGGCACTTGCAAATAATTTGTGATCAGTAGTGGCAACTGGGAAAGGACTGAGGAGAGTCGATATCAGCAGTATCAGTCGATACTGCTCTGCACTGGACACAGCACTCCAGGGGTGGCCTCATAGGAGCCTCTGTGACCTCCTGTGGCCTGCTGACAGCACCCCCAATGCAGCTCAGGATGTCATTCACCTGCTTTGCCCCGAGGACATGGTGAGCTCATGGTCAGTGAGGGTCAGGGTGTGCAGGGTTGTGGGGGTGGGGTGTGTGTGTGTGTTGGTGTGTGCTGTTGGTGTGTATGTGTTGCTGTGTGGTGCTGTCGTTGGTATGTGTTGTTTCTGTGTCTGTCAGTGCAATACTGTGTTCTGTGTGTTGGTGCTGTTGGCGTGTATTGCTCTGTGTGTTGGTGCTGTTGGCGTGTATTGCTCTGTGTGTTGGTGTTGTTGGTCTCTGTGTGTTGATCTGTGCTCTACTGGTGTGTGTTGCTGTGTGTGTGTGGTGCCATTGGTCTGTGTGGTGCCAGCCTGTGCAGATTGTGTGTGTGTTGGTGCCCTTGGTCTCCATGTGTCAATCTGTGCTGCTGTGTGTGGTGCTGTTGGTGGTGCTGTTGGTCTCTGTGTGTCAGTCTGTGCACGGTCACTGTGTGTTGCTGTGTGTGTGATGCTGTTGGTCTGTGTGGTGCCCATCTGTGCACGGTTGGTGTGGTGGGTTTCAGGGCTGGCTAAATGCCAGGGCACTTATTAGAATTTCCTTATTAATTTCCTGCTGTGACATAGGATTAGGAGGAAGGCAAAGCAGACTTAAACTTGAAAAGGGTATAAAGAAAAGTTTATAATAGTAACTAAAAGAAAGAATAGTAAGAATGATAATAAAATTTGTAGAATATTTCTCCCCCCATAACCTTTTCTTTCTCTCTAACAATGTACAGAAACAATTCAGTCAGTTTATTACTTTTAGAATAGTCTTTCTTCAGTTTACTTAGGGAGAGAAGTCTCATTAATATATGAAGACTGGTCTATAAGAAAACAGTTCTCTCCTGCCTTTGAATTTCTATGAATAGTAGCCACCAGGAAAATCTGCAATTGTGAAGTCCTTCTCATTTTTTACAGCTTCTCCCACAGCTGTGTTTATGGGTCATGTCAACTTATGGGGTACTGTTTTAAAGATGAGCTGCTTAAGAGCAAAAGTTCTCTTAATCTGTCATTGAAATCATAATTTCTGGGAATAGAGGTCTTCTCCCTGGGGGCACAGGGTCTTCATCACTCTTTTCTCTCTCTCTGTATAAACTTCTTATGGGATCACAGCTAGTTTAACATCTGCTTACTTTAGCACAGAGGCCTTTGCTAGATATCTACCATTTGAACGATTCATCTCCCTGGACTTTTCAATGCATTACAGGGAAAAAGAGCCTGATGTATCAATTATATTTTTCTCCATATCTTTATAAGAGTATTTTCAGCCTAAAACTAAAGGCATCTCTTTATCCCTCCCATCTGGGACTTGACTTCTTCACTGACCTCAGTGACTTCATGCTATTCTGCTACACGTTTGCACTGTGTGCTTTTCTCTCACTCGAGGGAGGATTGAAGCACTGAAAGAGTTAATATCTCACCTGGGGCTTGCAGACGGTTACACGGCCCTGGCCAGGCTCTGTAGCTTGCAGCCGGAGCTGCGGCTGGGCTGGGGGGTAAATGCAGTTAGGATCTGGGCAGCCAGGCCAGGACACAGCAGCAGCACACCGGGGGCTGATGGCTTCTCCTCCCCCTGCCCACTGGCTGCAGGTGAACCTCAATGGCAGCAGAATCTCGGCCGAGCCAGCCCAGCCCCGGCTGCTCCTGGGGCCCAGCGGAGCCCCCTCGGCCTGGGCTGGTGGCAGGGCAGGGCTCGGTAGCAGCAAGATGTCAGCAGCCGCGGCCCGGCCTCGGCCCCGCGGCCTCCCCTCTCCCTGCCCGGCAGCGATGGGGCTCGGCGGGCACCCTGGGAAGGGGCTCGGGCCCGCGGCAGGGACTGCCCGCCCGGCCTGCCTGACACGGGCCTGGCCCGGCCTCCTCACCTGCTCTCAGGCCAGAAGGGAAACAGACCCTCCTGGGCTTTTTTGTCTTTAACAGGTATCTTCACAGAGGCGTGTACAGTTTCCTTAGTAGTTTAACAAATTGTCAGTTTTCATACCTAATTACTGATTGATCTTTTTGTCAGACACAGGGGAAACTGCTAACAGCCTCTTTTAGAAAGCCGCTTCCATGACTGCCACCAATATAAAACTGTGACAGTTGGTCTGTGTGTCGCTGTCTGTGTATCGCTCTGTGTGTGTTGCTATGTGTGGTGCTGTGTGTGTGTTGCTATGTGTGATGCTGTGTGTGTGTTGCTGTGTGTGGTGCTGTGTGTGTGTTGCTATGTGTGATGCTGTGTGTGTGTTGCTGTGTGTTGCCCTGTGTGTGTGTGTTGCTGTGTGTCGCTGTGTGTCGCTGTGTGTGTATCGCTGTCTGTGTGTTGCCCTGTGTTGCCCTGTGTGTGTGTGTGTGTGTGTGTTGCTGTGTGTCGTTGTCTGTGTGTTGCTCTGTGTGTGTCGCTGGTGTCGCTGTCGGTCTGTGCACGTTGAGCGCTCGCGGCTCTTACGCGCCATTCACACGGTGCGCACGCGTGTGCGCGCGCGACTCTTTCCGTTCGTGTGCGCGCGTGTTTTGCGCACATGCCCGGCGCCGTGCGCGTGCCCGTGGCGCGCCGGACGTGGCAGCGGGCGGGAGCGATGCGGGCGGTGCTGCCGGGGCCGGGGCTGTGGCTGCTGCTGGCGGTGGCGCTGGCGGCGGGCAGCGGCTCGGAGCGCCCCCGGCTCCGCGAGACCGTGCTGCAGGACCTGGCCCGCGGCAAGGTGGAGGTGAGCGCGGGTGGGGGCCGCGGGACTCGCCGGGGCCGAGCCGGTGCCCGCCGGGTGCCTGACGAGGTGTCCTCTCCCGCAGACCTGCGGCGGGTGACGGCTGAATCGCCTCAGGGAGGTACGTACTGGGGCCGGGTCGGGCCGTGGCGGGGAGTCGGGCCTTCCCGACGCTGAGCTGGGCCCGACTGGCCATTCTCCGCAGGTGAAGGCGTTCGTCACCCAGGACATCCCATTCTAGTACCTGCCGGGAGCGGCTGCAGTGCTGGGGTCCGGACGGGACGGGAAGGGATGGGTGGGGGATGGGATGCAAGGGAATGAAGTATGGGAGGGGATGGGCTGAGGGACAGGATGGGGTTTTGTGAGGAATGAAGGACAGGTTTTGGGGAGGAGTGGAGAATGGGTAGTTGGGGAATGTGATAAAGGATAGGATGGTATTACATGGGAAAGAGGATGGGATGATGGACAGAACGGATAGGATGGAAGTCAATAGGATATGAGAGAAGATGGGTTGGGATGGAGGATGGTACAGGATAGACAGGAATGGGATGTGACGGACGACAGAAGGGGATGTGATGAAGGATGGGATGGGACAAGGATTGCATGGGCCTGATCAGTGCTGCCCATTCCTTGACACATTGCCCAGCCATAACCTGGAGATGAAACACCTGCCTGGTGCTGACCCTGAGCTTGTGCTCCTCAGCCTCCGGTATGAGGAGCTAGAGGTGAGTGGGCAGTGTGGCACCTGCTGCCACAGGGCCTGGGGTGCTCGGTGCCCCCCAGGTGCCAGGCTACAGCCCCTGTCTGGGTGCAGAGAATTCCCCTGAGCGACATGACCCGGGAAGAGATCAACCAGCTGGTGCAGGAGTTGGGCTTCTACCGCAAGGAGACGCCTGATGCCCCTGTGCCAGAGGAGTTCCAGTTTGCCCCTGCCAAGTCTCTGCCAATACTGCTGCCCCCCCATGCACCCACTGCTGATGGCAAGACCCCACCCAAACATGACAAGGAAGAACACCCAGACCTCTAGCAAGGAATGGCACCCTTAGGACAGGGTCCTGCAGCCAGTCCCCAGTGCAAAGAATGAGGGCGTTATGGCAGCTGGACATGGTGTCACAGGGTGGCAAAGGTTTTCCCCCCCACTCTTGCTTGTGTGCTGGTTGATGCCCTCCTGTCCTTGGAGCTCATTATCCTTGGCAGAGGAGGAGCAGCATTTCTTACAGTCTCTTGCTGTACCCAGACATTTAGCTGCTCCCAGCACTGGGCAGCAGTATCCTGCCTGCATGGGACAGGATGAAACCCTCAGCAGAAAGCGCCAGGTGCTAAGGGTAGATGTGCTGAGTCCCAAAGGTGGGAGAGCTGTCCCAAGAAGGGGGCTTTACCCCCCAGCAGGCTTTATGTCATATCCAGCTCCTAGTAAAGCTTTTATTTGCAGTCATCTGCATTGTATCATCTTTTCAGAGGGAGCTCAGTCATGTGCATCCCAAACTGCTCTGTTCCAAGGACAGCTGGGTGCCCCAGGGCTTCTCACAGAGGCAGAAGATGGCACAATCATAATCACTGCTGGTGGGCCACCTGCCAACCTACAGACCAACTGTGCTGTTCCCGTGTCACCCCTCCCCAGCATGATAGAGGGGTGAGGGTGGTGGGCACCATGGCATGGGATGAGCTGTTCTCACAGGGTGCAGGGGGATGGGCACGAGCCCATGAGTGAGTCCTGCAGTGTTGAACCAAAGCCCCATGGCTGCACTGGCCCAGTTGGAGACATCTGGCCCTCAGCTAGGGAAGGAAGTGGGGCACAGCTGCACTTGACCATAGTCTTGCTGGCCATATGGGAGTTTTTCCCTGTGCCAAGCCTGGGGCAATAGGGGGCAGTGAACCCTGGTCAGGGTGGCTCAGCTATGGACATAATCAATGAGGTGAGGAGCAACACATGCCCCAGTGTCCCTCTTGGCTGGGTAAGCAGTTCAGTTGCAGGTAGAGGGGCCTGCAGCAGCTGGGCTGCCAGCATTCCCCAAGCACTGTGGTGTGCAGTATGCCACTGGCAGAAGGACCTGAACCAGAGGCATTGCCCTAGATAAACCTTTATTATCTGACTGGCGTTGGTACACGTGTCAGCGCAGGTGTAGAGATGTGACAAAAGGGCAAGCAGCGCTGAGCACATGGGTGGCCTGAGCTGGAGAGGAGAGTGGGGGCGGTGTCCCAGCTTGCACCGTTCAACTTGCACTCCCCTGGGACCCCTTGCTGCTACCCCCTCCCCAGCCCACAGGTGCCCCTAATGTGGAAGTGCCTCAGGTGCAGGTGGAGGTGGGAAGCAGGGAGTTGGCACGGTTGTGGAGCTGTCCCCAGGGAGGTGACACCAAGCAGGGCCTGCAGTGGGCAGAGAGGCTTCCTTGCAGGGGACCAAGGGAACCGCTGGCAGGTGCTGCCTGCAGGATATACCATGGCCCTGGTTGAACTGCACAGCCCTGCACAGCCACAGACCCATGGGGTGGTCCGAGTCTGAGGGCACAGCTGTGCTCGTGCCACCCCAGGGACATAGGGATGGTACCTGCAGGGCAAATAATTCCTGGAGAACAAATAACTTAAAAGGCTGGAGTATGGGGGGCAAGCCAATGTGGGAGCATCCCCAGCAGTGCCCACCTGGCTCTGCCCACAGGGTCAGCCCACAGCTGGCCGAGGCAGAAACAGCTCTGCCAAGGCAGAGGTGTGGGGGTGCCCTGGTGGAAGAATTCTGTCCTCAGTGCCAGACCCATGGCCCCCCAGACCCTCCCAGGCAAGCAGCTCCCTTGCCCACAGGCAGCTCTGGGGTGAGGGCAGCAGTGGGGTGGAAAGGGCAGGCTCTAGCACTCCTTCTGCCGCATGCGCAACTCGTGGCGACGCAGGTGGTTATAGAGGGACTGCACGTAGGTGAAGACGCACTTGGCGTCAGGCTTCTTCCCCATGATCATCATGTCTTCAACCTCCACCAGCGGCACGCAGTCCACCAGCGTCCTGCAGAGATGAAGCCTTCAGCATGGCCTCAAGCGGGCTGCCACGTGTGGGGCTGGGATGGGCACCCCACACTGCTTAGGGCCTGCTGGTGTGGGCACTGCTGCCCTCAGACCTGCTGAGCTCCTTTCGCATCCCCCCCACCCCACCCTGGTACCACAGTCCTGCTCCTGACACTGGGAAAAGCATGTGCTATCTGCCCTAGGAGGTGCCTGCCCCAGGGCAGGGGTGGCCCAGTTGTCTGCACCCCTGGCTCCCCAGATGCTCTCCATCCCACTTGGTGCTGGCAATCATCCCCTGCTAAAGCTGTGCCCACCCTCCTCCTCTTGCTCCTCCAGCTGATGCTGATGTCCTCTAGAGAGAGGCCAGCCTGGCTGCAGGTGTCTGCCGTGCCCTAGCCTCAAACCCTACCAAGTGATTCAGGGAAAGCAGGGGGTGGTCTTGGTTAATTGCTGCCCCTTACTCGTGCCTCATGTCCTGGCCCTGCTGTTTTGCCGTCCCCTAAGCCCTGCCAACCTGGCTCCCTCCCCTGCCCTGGACTGGAACCCAGGGGCTACCTGCACCAAGCCCAGCACTCCTTGCTGCTGGAGTGGGCGCCGCCCTGCCTCAGCTCACTCAGCCCTGGCCTATTTCCTTCTCTCCCTGCCCCACCACAGTGCAGGGGTCCATGCAGGACCTGGCTCCAGGAGCTACCAGTCTTGTGGCACCCTGGAAGATCAGTTGTGGTTGTGTCCCCATCCCCATAGAAACTTTGGGGCTCTGCCCCTGCCCTTTTGGCGGGGTGGCCTACTCTGTCTTGCCACCCATCCAGTTCCCTGGGCTATGTCTCTGCCCAGGTTGGGGCTCCTTGGGCGCTTGAAGGGGCTGATAACACAATTAGGAGTCCTGATGACAACCAGGAAGGGCTGGATCCAGGATTCCCCTCCAACCATGGAGGGGATCTGGCAACCTCTTGTCTGCTCCTTTCTACAGGGAGAGAAGGGGTGGGGGGCACAGAAGCAACCCTACCACTTCTGCCAACCCTCCTGGCCCTGCCCAGGCCCCACACCCCTACCAGGCACTGTTTCCCCTTCAGGCTGCTGCTGGAGCAAGGGCTGCATTGGCACTGGGGGCGGTGCTGACACAAACCGGCAGCACCTGCTGCTGCCATGGCCAGTTCAGCTGCTTTGGCCTGGGCCACTCAAGTTTCTGCCCCCAAGGCTCTGGGTGCACAAGGATGACCCAAGGCAGGGATCTGCCCCCAAAGGCAGGGTACACAAGGAGGATCTGAATCCTAAGCTTGCCACCCACCACAACACCCTCAACCCCCAAGCCCTGAACCTCCCCTCTCCCCTCCTGCAGTAGCCCCACTGCACACGCTGGCCCCCTACAAGAGTCCCACCCCAAGGAGTGACCCCAGCCAGTGCCAGCCCCTGGGGAGCACCAGGGCCCAGGAGAGCCCCCCACCCTGAGTCCCATGGGCCCAGCCATTGCATTAGGTCTCTGCTGCCTGCTCAGTGGGCTCCAAGCCCACAGCCTGACTGGCACCAGCCCCACCTCATGATTTGGCCACTGTGAGAGTGGGAGGGAAAATGCTTGGGGCCTTTGGAAAGCCCTTGCCACTGCCAGCCTGGCTCAGGGTAGTGGTGGAGCAATGGCAGTGCACAGAGAGTGACTCTGCCCTTATAAAGCCATTGTTTGGACCCTGGTGTGCCAGCACTGTGCAGAGTCAGGGGAGCCAGAGCTCTAGCGCCAGCCAGGATGCCCTGAGACAGGCACAAACACTGCAGGACCTGAGCCTTGAGTCACACTTTCCAGACTCCTGCTTCTGCCCATATATGAGCAGGCAGCCTCTTGGAGCTGGGCATGCACCCTGAGGCAGGGGAATGAGGCAGCAAGTGGAAGCAGTGATGCTGCAGCATCCTGAGGGGCCACCCACACTCAGCACCATTCAGAACACCTTGGGTGGCATCCCCAGCAGCTGACCCCTGGGTCAGGCTCAGCCCTGGGGGCCCGGCTCTGTTCTAACTACTGCCCTCCCCACAGCTGGAGAGCAAACAGCACTCCAGGGTGAAACAGTCCCCCCTGCCCAAACCCCCACAGGTGCTATTCCAGAAGGCTGAAGCCCAGCCAGCTGTCCCTGCCAACCTCCTGCTGGTTCCTGTCTGGCACCGCCAGGACTTGCCCCTCACCCATCAGCATCCCCCAGCCTCATCCACAGCCGAGGCAGTCAGTTCCCTGCCGAGCCCTGGTGGTGGTGGGCACATGGGCAGGTACTTGGAGGGGAAGGTTCTCACCATCAGTCCTGAGGGGGGCTGACAATGGGCTACGACTTTTTGGTTTTTACCAGCCCCTTCTGGACCAGGCAGCGATAGAATTCCTGAATGTATGTGTACACACACTTCCAATCTGGCTCGCGCATCCGGACCATGTCCTCCACGTCCAGCAACTGTGGACAGTCCGCGTGCTTCCTGGGTGCGGGGAGAGAGAGGGGCAAGCCAGTGACCGCAGCCCAGTCAGGGAGGGGAGGAAGAGAAAACAAGAGACACAGATCAGTGCAGTTCCCATCCCACTGGCAGCTGCTCCGCTCTGGCATGCTCTGGGGATGCACGATGCAGGGGCAGGAGGGCTCCAGGCACCCCATGCCAAGGCCATTCAGTGATACTGGGGGGGGCACAAGCAAGGGGGAAAGGGGCAGGTGAGTGGCGTGGAGAGGCGTGAAGTCCAGAGGGAAAGACAGACGGAAGAGGAGGAGGAGTAGGAGGACGAGTGAGGTGTTCTGGCACGCCAGGTGCTCGGGGTGCGGGTTCCAGAGTGGAGCAGCACTCTATACAGCTCCTGTATAGAACCGCTGGGAGGATGGTGGGGGGCAAGCCCAGCCCTCCTGCCCAGCTCCACTTGGAACCGCGCGGCACAGCCCTGGTGCAGGAAGCTCAGGAAAGGACGCTCACAAGAGCTGGAGGAGGAGGAAGGACAAGAGGCCACCTGGCTTCCAGGCCGGAGAGATCGATGGCTCTCTCAAGTCCGCGCACCAGTTTCCCAATTAAGGCAAAAAATCCATTAACAGGAGCGCCAAGAGCCAGGCCCACAGCCCCCTTCTCGCTCCACCAAACAGCACCACGGCACCCTGGGAGCTTGTGGGAATCCCCATCTCACCCTGCCACCCTGGACATCAGCAGGATGGGACCCCCCACCCCCAGCCCTGCCCCCTGGCAGGGTGCTGGAGAAGAGTGGGTGGGTGGGAGAGAGACAGAAGGAAGGAGAGAGGGGCTGGCTGCCAGCCCTCCAGCTAGGTGCACTCCCATCTCTCAGCACCCAGGAAAACCAGAAGCAAAAAGAGAAAGGAAGAAAACTGGAGAAGGTGCAATGGTGTTTGAGGCCCTATAACTGTGAAAGGAGGAACCTGGCATAGGCCAACCCTGCTCCCCCCACAGGCTGCAGTCCCACACCTGGTCCCCAGGATGGAAA